AAAGAAATTTGAAACTTTAAAAAATCATAAATCTGAAACTACTGCTTTCCTAGCAATTTTACTTGAGCTGGAGTATTTATTCAGTTAGTTGAATAATTTGAGATACTTATTAGTTAAAATCTTTACATTACAATTTTCACTTTAGACACCCTACTCTAGAAAACGGGCTATCAGAAATAAAATCTCTAAATAGAGAGAATGAATGATTTAAGGAGCTATTGGCAGCCATTAAAAGGAGATATTAAAAGAAAAGAGAAGAGATACTGCTCTTCTCTCTCCTTCAAACTGACCATTCCTCCTCCTCTCCTCAAGACATTGCTCATTCATGTTGTACTGAGGGGCGGAGTCACTTATTAAAACTAGTTTATTAACTAGGCTACTAGGGTGGGGCTCAGTGTGCTGCAAATTGCAAACTTGCTAAGGGCGTAGCTGACTAGCTGCTCTACCTCAGCAAATATGTCAACCAAACCAGAGGAGCTGAAGAGAGCCTTTGACAGAGAACTTAGTGAGTAGATATTCTTAGTAAATGTTTTTAAGTATTATCAATGATAGATATTAGTGATTTTCGACTGGTATGGGAAAAAGCTGGTGTTATTTCAGGACGCTGGGACTCTGTAGCAATTATGCTGGGAATCAGCTACAAGAAGTTATATGAGATTGAATCAGAGACAAAGACGGCCAGAGGCTGTCTACAGAAAGTATTTGATTGCTGGTTAAGCAGAAACTATGACTATAAGAGTCATGGTGTCCCTACATTAAAAATGCTGTGTAACTCCATTAAAAGTAATAGTGGAGGAGCTGATCCAGCTCTAGCTGATGAAATAGCAAAAGAATATACCATTAAACTTACTAGTAGTGGAGAGGCTACTACATCACCAGTTCATGCTTCATCTTCTAAAGGTAAATAAAATTATAATACGTTGATCATTTTATTTATTATTTCAGAAGCTACTCCAACTGTTGAGCTACCAGTTCCTACTTCACCTCAAGCTGAGTCTTCAGTTGTTTACGTTAAAAAGAAATCAATTGAATATTTGCCAGAAAACCTGACACGAATGATTGGAGATCTAAAAGAAGTTTTCCTTGATAATATGTATCATACAGAGAAGTCTTTTTGTTCCATCGATGTCTCAGAAGTTATCGGTTTCATTCAACATTATACCTCACTTTTACTCAGTCCACGATTTCAAAAATACAAAGTGATTGAGCCAATGAAAAACGAGTTCGAACATATTAAAACCATGAAGCAGCTGTTTAGAGTACTGGAGAAATACATCTCATGGTTCAATTTTGAACTTGTCATCAAGTTAGTCAATACTTTCATTACTGATGAGGGAGGTTTACAGAGGAAGTGGTCTACATATCGTGAGAAATTAAAAGATTATTTTAAAAATAACAATACTAAAGCAGTTCAAATTGCAGACTCAATTGAGTTTGGTCTCTCTGATGTTCCAGGCACTAAAGTAATGATTGCTAAGGTTGCCAGAGACGACTACACATTAAATGATTTATATTTCTTTCACAAGCTAATCGCTGATGCACTTGAAGTTCCTCAATATAAATTCTATTTTTGTACAATTGATGATGGCTGCATGGAATTAAAATATTCAATTCCTGATTTTCTTTATTCTGTTCTCTTTCCATTAACCAATCAACAGTTTCATTCATTGGCTGAGATTGGAATCATTAAAATTACTTTTCATGAATATGTACATGAAATGAAGCAGGTATAAGAATAATTAATTATGAATAATTATATTCTTTTTTATAATTATAGCTACCAGAAAATGAATTAAAGAAGCTTCATGACTCTCCTATTGGTAATCCTTATTATCATTAACTTTATTTATGATATAATTATATAGATATTTATGATCCTCTCTGGTATGAGAATACCAGCACTCCATTGAATGAAGCATGTTGGAGAGGATTAAAAGATGAAGTACAACGATTGATTGACAAGACTGGCCTTCAAGAAAGAGGTAAAAATGGATGGAGTCCACCATTAGCTGCTTCATATGGTGGCCACATTGATGTCCTCTGTCTCCTCATTGATGTTTATCATTGCGATCCTTCACAAGGTGATGATGATGGTGTTATTAGTTTACACATGGCCTCATATAAAGGCCATCTCAATATTGCACAGTATCTAGTTAATGAATGTCACGTTGATCCAGACATAGCAGATAGCTCTGGTAACACGGGATTGCTTTACTCAGCACTGGGTGGTCACGTTGACCTCGTGATTATGTTTTTAAAGAAGAAGTGTAACGTGTCTCAGGTCAATAGAGAAGGATCGACTTTATCATTATTAGCATGTAAGAGTGGACAGGTAGCATTAGTTGATCAGCTTAAGCAGTATGGTATTTTCTCAGAAGATGACATAGATTTTAACGGATGTGGAATAGTACATTATTGTGCTATGAGTGATAGTGTAGAGCTTCTAGAGTATCTTTATAATAATCATAAAAGTGAATTATTTCAAAAAAGAGATCATTTTGGTGCAACTCCACTTCATATAGCATGTCAGTATGCTTCATCAGGTTTCATTATGAAAATGGTTAATATTTTTGGATATAAAGTATTACTAGAAGCTGATTATAATGGTCGCTCTTCTCTTCATTATTTATGCAGTGGATTGGTTGATAAATACTGCATTACAGAAGTGTATAATAAGCTCACTGCACCATGTGATATACCTTTACTGATGGAAATAGATACATTAAATGCACATGACAAAGAAAACTTTCAGAAATATATATCACTAAATATAAATGTTACTAAACAGCATAAAAGAGTGAGCCTTTTGTCCACACTCCTCAAGAAGACAAGCATTATTAATAATTTCAATATAAATTCTATTACTGCTACTGGTCAATCATTGGTTCATTTAGCATGTACTAGTGGTAGTATATTATTAGTGAAGGTATTAGAGGAGTATGGTATTAATACAAGTTCATTAGATTATGAGGGTCAGTCTGCAGTACATTATGCTGCTTTATCAGGTTCACCTACTCTACTCAGTTATACTGTATCTGAGTATAGGTTGAATGCCAGTCAACCAGACTACAAAGGTGTAGTACCATTAGCATTAGCTTGTATGTCAGGTAGTATCAATGCAGTAGAATATATTATGAATACTACTGACATTGATATTAATATAACCTGTAATGAGGGTAGAACACCTCTTCATTATTCATGTCGTCATGGTAACGTTGATCTTAGTGAATATCTCATTGAAGTACAAGACAGTGACATTAACATAACAGATAATAATAAAAGGAATGCATTGACTCATAGTGCTAAGAGTGGTAACATGAAGCTAGTCCAATACCTCATTAATAATCATCAATTGCCTCTTACATCATTAGCACTACTTCAAGCAGTATATAGTGCTAAACTATCATTAATTAAATTATTAGTTAATGAATATAAACTAGATCCTCGAGTTAAAGATGGTGAAGGTAAGCAAGCAGTTCATTGTGCAGGTTATGTTGGTACTATTGATGTCTTAGAGTATTTAGTAAAAGATTGTGGATGTGATTTGGATAGAGTAGGTGGAGGATACAACTGTAATGTGTTTCATTCCTCTACATCTAGTGGTCATTTTTCATTTATTAAATATATAATTAATAATTATCCACAATATTCTAGTCTATTGCATTCTATTAATGATATTGACACTCTACCAATTCATGCTGCCTGTGGTAGTGGTGTAATACAACTAGTGACATTTCTAATTGATGTAATGAAATGTGATGTCACAAATGAAGATAAGGATGGCTATGATTGTGTCACAAGGGCATGTTCCTCTGGTAATCTTGATCTTTTAAAATTATTAATAAAACAATACAACCTTAATCCTAGAATATTCGGCAAAGCATCATCACCAGAAGCTGCAGTGGCATATGGATATGTTCATATACTAGAATGGCTCAGACAAGAGTATCATATCAATGTAGCCTCATTTAAGAATGGTTTATTACCTTTTTATGCTGCACAATATAACAATTTGTATTGTTTAAAGCATTTATTAAACAATTATTCATTTGATATTAATACCACTGATGATACTCAATCTACACTCCTTCACATAGCATGTCAGAAAGGACATGTTGCTATAGTTCTCTACCTCACTAGTCTTCCTCAGTGTGACGTATCAGCTAAAACTTCAAATGGATCAACAGTTCTTCATTTATCATGTAAAAGTCGTTCTCTTCCTATACTCAAGCATCTAGTGGAGGAGCATCAGTTTGATCTCACTATTAAAGATTACAATGGAATGGCTCCAGTTCATGTAGCCTGTGAAGAAGGATCATTGAGTATAGTCAAGTACATTATAGACCATTCACCATTATCTCTTGATATGACCGACTCTTTTGGACGTACTCCACTACTTATTGCAGCTTTCTCTAAGAACCTTCCCATCATTCGTTACCTCAACAGTAAAAACTGCAACATTTCTATACTGGACGATAAAGGGTTTAACGTAATACACATATCGGCAAAGGGAGGGTCTTTGGATATATTGAGGTTTTTCGTTGATGGTCGCTACTGTAATCCTGATATCACTGATGCTTCTGGTCGTACTCCACTTTATCTGTCAGCTCAAGAGGGTCACTTGGAAATAGTAGAATATCTATTGGATAGTCCAAACTACAATAAACCACATGTAGAATTAGTAGACATGCT